TTAAGAAGGCGAGGGCAGGCGGGGTCTCGGTATTGCAAGGGATAAGAGCACGGTCCCCGGAAAGGACAAGTACCGTCCGAGACTGAAGTTTTGTCCATAAATCGCCAACCTTGTGAGATTTTCAGAACGCGTACTGCGGCGATATAACAGCAGTTAACAAAACATCAAGTCAAGGCGAGAGCATTGTTCTGACCACCAAAACAGACGTCGATCCGTTGACCGGAAACTTCCTCGGCACCATCAAGCGGATCAAAGTAGCCGTGACACACTTCAAGCAGGAGCAGCTCATCTTATGCCCTCTAAGAGCTCTTTCACTCTTTACCACTCAGACCTGCTTATCCAGTGGGCCCAGTGTCGTGATTGGGAGCGCTTCCAGACATCTTCGCTCAGGCTCTTTATTTACTTCGCTAGTAGCGCTACGTCGAGGGAACGACTTGTACGTAATCAACCCAACGTATAATTTTAGACTACCGAAACGTCTGTTCATACCTCGACGACTAACATACGGTAGTAACGCCTGCTCTTTACCCCGAGGCAGGATTGTGTCAAATGTCGAAGTTCACAGTAACCCCTTTTGTAGATTTATCTCTTCCATTATTTCTTTGATATCGTCCCACCAATGCCCCGGTAGCAACAATAGACCAGCAAGATGGATCTGTTCAGAAACGACTATGGGACCGAGCCACTCTAATATATCAGCCATCCCAACGTCTTCACACTGAGAGACGCACACATGCAACTCGCTATGGCTACACAGCGAAAACTTCTTACCCTGCGACAGAAAGTAAGACCCTACAGTACGATCTTCTCCCTGGGTTTGATGCTGTGTTTTTCTCCTTACGATAGCATGTTCTTTCACCCCTTATCTGACTGCCTGTCCTTTCACAACAAGTCCGGGGACGTTCGTTTCAATGGAAGGGGGATGTGTGAGAGCCATGGTTAGTAGTTAGACGAGCAATGAGAACAAGAGGAAGTCATCGGATAGTTCGCCCTGATTTACAAGCTTACGGAACATCGTGGAGAGGAGGGGCGGCGAGCAAACAACAACGGGTTGAAGAGGGAGAGGAACCGCTCAGGGACTCGCTCTGCCGACAGCCTCGGGTCGAGGGCTTCTTGATTCGCGGTGCTTTGCTGTGTTGGTGCTTCTATATTCTTGGCTCTGAATGAACTGTGGAATTCACTCGTGTGAATCTCTGAATCCCGAATCTTGGCAAGTTCATTGAGAGAACGGAGACCATTCAACCTCTTTCCATCGCATCCCAATCGTTTCAGCGAGAGAGCAGAGCAAGCGAATAGGTGGCATACTCTTCAATAAATAGAGATAGCAAAATTCCATTCGATGAAGTGTTCCAAATATTGTGCTCTGACAACGATATTCCGCCGTCATCATCAAGCTCTCGAAACAAAATTTCTTTCCATTGCTAGTAACATTGAGTAATTGCATTTCGATAGTCAAGAAAAATGATAACACGTTACTGTTTGTTGACGCCGTAACAGCGATACTGCCTACGTTGAGTTCATTTCATTATCATACTGACATTGATTTGAAGAGGTGCAATGCACATCAATGTCCTCGACTAAGTCGTCCTTCGGTAGTGAGGAGGTAAGATTTTTTGAGCAAATTTAAATATTTCAGGATGGAGTCCTACAAAATGTAGCGAAAGGAGACGACCCTGCTACGCTTCAGCCCGACTCCTAAAAAGTAGAGTACGGAGAGCGTTTTCTCCCAATGCTTAGAGTTTTGTATCTCAGCTAAGAAGGAGAGGAACACCCGGGAGGGATGCTAAACTTGTGCAGAAATATGGGCTGGAGGAGAGGGTAATCAATGGAGTGGAGCCCGCAAACGCGTGCTATAACCAGTTGACTTTCGAGCATTTTTTCTTGTGGCGCGTAAAAGTGGGAGTGTTCGAAGGTATTAAGTTGCAGTCCCCTTCCGGTATACTCAGATACGGTCCAGGATGTGGGATAGTACATAATTTCTACTATAATCAATCGGGTCGCCTAGCTTACGCCGGCATCATTCTTTACTTTTACAAATTAGTTAGAAAATGTAGTAATGTGTGAGGCATCTCTTTTATTCAACACTGAAGGCTTGAGTGCAGAGAAGGTTTGGTAGACGACCGACCTTACCTGCGCTTCTAGTGAACCAATTGGTCGAAGCGAGCGTCCACTCTCCTCAAATACCGACACTGTTCTGTCCTCTCATCAGAGCGATCGAAATGTCAGGAAATACGAAAGCCAATCTCTTCTCTCCACCATCATTTACGACTTTATACGCAAAAGCAAATTCGAAGCAGTGTTCTTCGCTAATATTGCACATTCCTTGACAGGAGCGTCGAGTGCAGGAGCACGTGGATGTGTAAGAAGTTCCTCAAATGTAAACGAGCGACGACTTCAATCGATTTCATTATTGTTGGGGTAAAAAGTAGATGCAGTATGAAAATCCACACAGAAAATATTAAGTGTACCACTGGACGTAAGGCTACATCTCGCTATGAAGCAACAAGGCACTCACGCCAAAAAAAACATGAGCTCATTCTTCCTCTGCTCAACCGGGTGTTTTGCTAGGAGAGATTCTGCCAAAGTGTACTGAAGTAAACACAATCTGTTGGCAACTGAGAGAAACAGTGCTAGGGAACACATTTCACATTGATCACAAGGAAGTTTCGATTGCGATGGATAATGCCGGACCACCACACATGAGAACGTCGATGGAAGACCTGGAAAAGCTTGGTATAATCTGACTATCCCATCCCTCATGCTCACCGATCTCAGCCCATGACACTACCATACTCTCAGAAGCCCACAGGCGTGCTTCATAAAAAAAGATTCAACGATCGCCAGAAAGTCAAGTTGTCAGTGACGGAATAGCGTTCGCCTTCTATGTATATTGTCTTGGTAGACATCACCAGCTATTACTGAGCTCCGTTATTCGTTATTTGAGATTAACTCAGAACCCACATTACCTGCCAAAGAACTACATAAAATGTACTGATACTACCATGGTTTCTTATCAGCTGTTATCACTCTTTAACAGCTTCTGTCATCGACCGTGCACGACGCAATCATGTCTTACGCCATCTTCAAAAGTGGCACAGCTCCAAGATCAGCGCGGAAGGCGCAATTAATCAGTGCGGGTTCTCAAGAAGCTACCTTCTAGAGCTTCTTAAGAACCGCATTCAGTTGTCATCACTTTCTTTCGAACTTCATTTATTCCACTCTAGTGCCTGGATTACTCGCTGATCTGAGCGCTCTAGATCCGTGGCCCCGAGAGTTATGATTTTCTGGTCAAACACAGCGATACGTAAACAAGCGCAGCACCTACACACTCAACACACCCTTAACGAGTAAATTAGGATAACCGCAATGTCAGGCGCATTTTCTATCATTCAGCTCATAATGAACTCTCATAAATGATGTGAGAGGAAAAATTAACATTGCCTTTTTTAGTCATTCACATCTTATACCTTCTAATCACTTGTGAGATGCTATCATATCTGCAGCTGCAGTCGATTATCTCACAATAAATATAACATACTAAACTGTCAGAGATCGATCTGTAAAAAATCTCATATTTTCTAAAGCGCATTAATCAGCTCCTGTCGGCTGCGATCGTTATCTGTCATTCATCATCGGTTTCCTTATACATTCGCCTTTATTCCTTTAACGTCTAGGGGAACATGAGTTATCAGGTTCCGACACACCGACCCACACACATGAACGTACATCCACAAACAAAAAATGAACACAAATACACCTCGAAAAACGCACCGACCCACACACATGAACGTACATCCACAAACAAAAAACAAATACAAATACACATCAAAAAACGACTGACGAACAGGGTGCGCCATAAATATGGTAACAATTCCACGGAACTCCTCAATTTTTATTGTTTTGAGGGTTTCCCCAAATACTCTTTACACCTACACCTCTTATATTTAATATCCCTTAGCCCACATATCTGTTTTGGTGCTCTCAACTTGCCTGTTTTCGAAAAGTGGTGAAGCCTCATAGTCATTTAACAGCCGTTCCATTTTTGCGCGCATCGGTGGATTCCCTCCCGGGATCTCTCGTCGTTTCGACATTTATCGCACGACAGTCACATGTATCGCGGTGCGTGGTGTTCAGACACTCCGACGGAAGAAATCAGTCTCCAACAGCAGTGCAGAAATAGTAGCCAGAGAGATGGTAGACCGAGTTTTTGCGATGGACAAGTTTCATCACAGGTTACATCGGCCGAGATTAATGCAGCAGTTCATAATTGTCACGTTGTTGCAAGGAATTGGAAGATTCGAAGAGTGTGGCAGAGAGTTCTAGGAAGAACCGTGTCGAAGCTTCCAATTTAGATTGCCACGGACTGCATGCTTGACACCTCACGTTGGGAAAATGTTATCGGGTTTGGGAGGCTTAGCTTTGGCCATGAAACATCGATTTCAGTTTTCTGCAACGGATGATGAGCTGCTCGAATTGGCTTGACATGATCTCGATGAGCTTGTCGACTCCTCTGTGATATGTTCTCTCATGCGATCTCCAGTTGAAGTAATTTCTCATGGTCGTTCCGCCCCTTGAAGCCTTTACCTTGCCCTCAATTTTACCCATAGCTGTTCGATGCGACTCACGTCGGAGGACACGGCAGCAGAGGGAAGTTGTTGTTGCAAAAACGTTTGGTGAACAGCTTTTATTTGTGTCTCGGGTCCTTGTACTGTTTAAAATGAATCCGCTGCGAGCAATGCTGCGAACAAACGACCAGATAACAGTCTCCATGATGTTAAAGACACAGTTCACGATAATTTCTGGGTATCCGGTTTTTGACGGGAAATGATAGGTACGGCCTACAGTAGCACAATAATAAAACAGAAATCGCGAAAAACGACGAATAGAAAAATACAAAGGGTCAAAAAAAGAAGTAAAAAGGGTGGTTGGACGGTTAACACACCCGAAAACCGCGATTAAGGGGAGTGTTCGGGCAAGTCAGACGAACGCGACGCAGTGTCTGCAATTGCACACAGCACACGCAAACAGCTGATTTTGCCGTCATTGTTCAATGAATTGCATGCAATACCTAATCCAAAACATCTTTGCAATCCTTAAAACGGTTTGGTGGGGTGTTCTCACCATTTGTTGAAAACATCCCATCAAGACTCAATTAAAGATTGCACGAATAAAAAATAATCGAAAATAATTATTACGAATTTGCGTGCAAAAAACTATCACGTGAATTCTCATACGTAATTGTCTTACCTGACCCTCTCGCAGTTGCAGTGAATAATTATTTCAGCAGAGTAGAAGCGAATAGTAGTAGCAGGATAGAATAGCGGTCGAATATAAAACACTGGTTGGCGAACGCAACAAAAACTACATGCCCGTTCGTGGCAATTTGCCAATCAGCTTATCGATTGTTCACTAATGTTGCTCCAATGCGAAAGTGGTGAATGGCAATTAGATTTCGTAGTCAGCCTAGCGAGGGGCGGAGGCCTGCCGTCCCCCACTGTTCCTGCCCTTATTGTGCCCTATCCAGAACGTTTTACGACCTGATTTCCACACATATGGTATCGAAGAGGGCCCCAAATTCATACTAAGTGAAAATCTCCGAAACCATTTTAATCGTGAACTGTGCCTTTCAGGTACATCTTGGCATCCATCTTACTCTCGATCCGGTGGAGAGGCCCAACTTCTTTGGCAATAGCAACTGCCGCGAACCATCATAGAACTTCCCCCACCCTCCATGGTCGACAGCTGATATTGGATGGTACCGATATGACGTCGGACAAATTTTATTCCTTCCGCTCTGGGCTAGAAACTTCGTTTCGTCGCTCCAGATGATCTTACGCCACTACTGAATGGTCCAGTTCCTGCGAGCACGAACCCTCTGAGACCTGTTTCGCGATTCTGCGCAGAAATCGGTGGTTTGTACACTGGACGACGTCCCAAAAGACCTCTTTCAGACGAAGTCGTTCAGTGTTCACGGATGGGTTCGGTCTCCTAAGCGTCGATATTCCACGAAGAATTTTGGCTGCAGTGAGCGCGGATCGTTCCTTGCAAGCTGCAGAAGGTTTCGTTCGAAGAGACGAGACGAATGTCTTGCTGCTCCTTGATGTTTTTCGACTTCGGCTGACCCTTCTTCACTTCTTCCAAATCATCTGTGCACATCTAACTGGCACCCCTTGAATTTCAGAAACTTGCCTAGAAGTTGAGCCCTGAGCCGCGCAGGCTCTGAATGACGGCATTAATTTTGTCTTGCCGTCCCGTCCTTCCCAAATGCCTTGACATAACCATAATGAGGCACTAGGTGCATGATGCGACTCAAAACAGTAAAAACCACTTGAAGTTGTAAACATCAAAACCCACCAGTTACCCAAGATGAAGGGGTGCGTTGGCGAGCGATTCGAAAACAACGCACCCGTTATGGCTGGAGGGGTGGCGCTGGATCACTACACCTGTATAATGTTGCCAATTGTTCAAGTTATCTATAGTTTGAGTATCTCGCAGGGAGCTCGAGCTTTGTGAAAGTGACGTTTGAAAACGTGAAACTGCCCACTTCACTGGACGGCACTGCCATGAAATTGGATTGCGCTAGGCCGCTACATGTTCTCTATGTTTCTCTCTGTTCTGTTCTGTTCATGTTTCCGATACAATAATAACAATACTGCTGATAGCATTTTAGGACCAGATGTTGTACACTAGTAGTTCTCTTTTTGCAAGAACAAGCCACGGCATAACTGCATTTTTCAGGTTAATGAATCCTCTTGCAAAAGCAATGCATCTGCTATGCTTCCCAAATCTGATTATTGCAGTTGTTTTGGAGCATTCCTTCAGGTATTCCCTCTATACGAAATCAAAACCAACTTTTTCTGGAAGTTTCTTTGTCATGAAATTCAAAATGTAAGAGACTAAAATATCGATAGAAAAATGAATCGAGAATTGAGAGAAAGTGAAGATGATCAAACTTATCCGCGACACTCACTTGCTTACGTCGTAAAGCATCGACCATGAGGGATGTGGATGATCTGATCATGAGTTGGCTCTTCACCTAACGCGCATCCGCGGCTGGGATGCAATCCCATTAAAGTCGCCTATAAAACAGATCGTATAGATCTTTAGATCATTAGAAGCTTTGTCCTCATACTGAGGTGTCTGCATTCGTCACCATCTGCTAAAATAAATGAGGTAATCTCGTAAAAATTACAAGAGGACTGTCCCGGCGGCAAAACCTCTTGCAGTTGCACCGACAAAGACGGACGACAGACGAGCACAGACAGCGCGACGAACTCCTCATAAACGTTCTTCCACTCATTCTCTTCTTTCACTCCTGACAAAATAGTCGAATTCGATGCTTGAGACTAAATATCCTTCAACGAAGCCCTGGCAAGCCGCCATACCGATCGCTACAAACCACATGTCTTTTTTTCTGTTCCCTCGGCCTCGCCGACTTCCATATCATACTATGAGTCCACCCTTCCGAAATGTGAGAAGATGTGCCATCGGGGATCCTAAGGTCAGGGAGGTTGAGATAAAAGGCGGTGTGATGGTCTCTGCTGCTTTGCTGAGGTAACGACCAAGTTCCGTGCTTTTTGGGTGCAAGCCTCCCGGCAAGAATATAGGCCTTTCAACGATCAATGCTTGAGCAGGTTGAGTTGGACCAGTTCCACTCAGGATCTGCTCTACCCACTCTCTTTCTGGGCTACGTTATCAATGATCACCTCGTTCCTGGTTCACTTCCCGAAGGATCAGTAAGAGCTTCAAGTTGAGCGCCTTCGTGTTACACATAAGCTTTGCCATAGGTCCAGAAATAGCAGGCGCGAATTAGAGGAGGTTGAAGTGCTGTTAAGGGAACAGGTCGCATTTCTAAGGTGACCCGAATTTGGTCACTGTCGAAAAAGTGACGAGGGATTTCATCTTGAAGAAATTCCCGGTGAGTCGTGATAGCCGCTGAACAATGCAATATCTCCGAGGTGCAGACTGCAAGATGCACATAATGGCCCTCGTAACTTTCATCCTCAATGGTGTGCGAGTTCCCCATAAGCCTCACAACATCATTGAGCGATGCACGAGTTAACACTAGCGACAATACTATGAATAGCATAAATAAACGTAATGCGAAACATTCGATATTTCAAGTGGAGGAAGAAAGATATCCCTCATCGCCCGATAAGGTTTCGAAGGAGCATTTCCCGACTGCAATTAAGCACTTTTATTGGCACACAGTGCTAAGTCTTCAAATACTTTGTGTAGTCCCCGTAGCTCTTCACACCGAAGTACCGCATCAAGAAGTACTTCCTTGAACTCTGCAATATCTCCTTACGTGGGCTGAACGCTGGCTTAATCTTTCGACTGTCAGCACAGGAAGACAAACAACGACTGGGACAAAGGCGGATGAGCAGTCTTGCCGGATAGGTTGCATATGAAGACGTATCTTCTTGTTGCAGTGGATTGACATGCACTGATGTCTGCGCACACATGAGGACAGAAACTCCACTAAAACCGGTAATTTTTCTTCCTTATGAGTGCTCTCGACTAATGGCGGTAGAGGCTATCCCTTATGATGCCTTCTTTGACTTGCAATACGGCGCTTCTTGTGAGCCATAATGACGACGAACGGTGAGGATAAACGCCCTGAAAGTCTGTGCGAAATGATGCGAGTCAACCGATGAGAGCAAAGTAAGAAAAGAAGTACAAAATTATGCACGATTTTATTGATGTTTATACTATACATTAATATGCAACTGCCTGCCAAAATCTGCAGTCAGTCTGAAATCTTATGCAAAGGCAGGTCTAAATGTTGGGTCCCGCGTCGACATCCGGTACACTGTGGGCGCCGCCCTCCGTGCACCGAAGACACCTAATTCTACCAACTGCTAAAACGACACGTCAGGAAGAAAACAGACACCTCCATTCTCACTAGAGGGATGAGGATGATGCGCAAATAGAATAAACCATTGAGGATATGAAATTAAAGGAATGAAAGGTTTTGATAATTTCCCCAAAACTTTGATTAGGGGTGGTAGAACACTTATGAGGCGAGGCTCAAAGACCTCTGTGGCACCTCTCAATCCGGTAGTTGTAACATACGCTAGCTTCCGTTGTGTGAGAACTTCATCCAGCAGCAAGGAATGTTGAAAATGTGCGATAGGAGGCCAGCTAGAAAATTCTTGATGAAGAACTGTGGCAGTCCAGTAATAGAGGGAGAGAAGGCTCAAGTGAGCGCAGGTATTTTGAAGCCATATGCGGTGTAATAGATAAGGATGGTTTAGAATCACGACACACCGCAATCGTTAAAGCTCCGTAGCTCTCACGCTCCCTTAAACTGAGGAGAAATAGCAGGCGAAACCCTCAACTTTATTGTTAGATGCATCGTCAGCACATTTTACTCAATCTTCCCTGAAGATCATAAAGTAGGTGGGTATACGCTTTGTGAACTTCTTAGCGAACAAAGCTAGACCACGAGTATTTTTGAAAGCAGAATTGCGTCTGATTTTGTTATCCATGAATCGGTCTGAATGGTTATCTAGTTTACTTCATACATTACGATAGGCTATGATTCTGATGAATTTTTGGTGTTTTAGAATATGCTAGTTTTGCGCTGAAATAAGTTCGAAATATGGGAGCGGTAAGTCACACTCCGATCAAATCCCCTCTTGCGGATTGTTTGTTAACCTTGCGAAATGCGGAAAAAAGCCTTGCTGATTCTGCCTTCCACTCAGCGAACAAGTTGAAGTCACCCTCAATCGTCATTTTGATATAGATAAAACGAGATCAAACAATGTTGATATCAAAAGGTCGCCGGACGGTGAAGGAACGTAGATGTCGGGAAACCATGTGGGCGACGGCTCATCATAGAGGAAAGGGTCCCGTCAGCACAAATAACGTCAGATGGAAGTCCATGTGAATCGAACTCCATTTTTCCAAATATTTAGAATGAGCTGATGAAGCAGTGAACAAACGCGTTCGCCTTTCTTACCAACCCGGTATTTTCTGTTATGTTATAAAGAACATGCGCCCAAACTTCACACTCATATTGCCCAGGTCTGATTTTGTGGTCGACTTGAGTGCGAGTAGCTGACGTTTAATCTTTTGTGTGGCCCTAATACCGGACATCTCAAAATCAAACAATTTCACAGCGAAGCCTTCCAGATTTTTTTGAAATCATCATGTAGCTATCGATGAGTTGACCAATAAGTTCAAAAGTATATTCAACTGCTGCAGATCATAGGTTTGAAATAGAAAGACACAATGAAGGAGCTTGGAACTGAGTCCGTGCTTTTCGGGTGAAAAAGGTTTGACATGGCTCGTACTGTATTATATGAGTATAAATACTACACTGCCGACAAGGCAGTACTGCATAAGTTGGAGAGGTTTTCCTTTCTTAGTTTTCTTGCTATCCACTATAATTCTAGTCACACTAGAGTTAAAATTCTCTGCCACTTGAAACAATGACCCAACCGATGTATCAAAACTACGTCCGAATCCTGACTGAACAGTTGATGAGGTTTGATCGATTGTTCACAAAAAAACTGCAAGAAATTATTTTTGGAGCCTTTTTCGATAACGCTTCAATTTAGCTATGCGGATTGTGTTGCTATGTTGGTTGTCCGCCTACACCTGGAAGCATTGCTCGGAAACTTGCATTCCATCCACCGAAAAAAGGCGTTTCGTACACTGTGCATCTCGCAGATAATCCTAGAAAAATCATAAAAGGAGCTGATGAGGTAATTTCTCATCCAGTTTTGGAGATTTTGATAGCAGTTACATTCAAAGATTCCTTTTATTGAAAGACGTCTTGCAGCTAGAAGGTCAGAAGTTCTTCATTACGCCGACTCCTCTGGAAATGACTACAGTATTCGATTACGAAAGACTGTTGGACCGAACCAAAGTAAGTTGTTGTGTTGAAAGCAAATACGATACGATTGATTCCAGAAATATCTCGCTAGTCTCACAAGGTTGGCAAATTGTGGGCAGAACTACGGCCTACGACTTGTCAGGAACCCGCACTTGCTAGTCTCGCTAGCTCTTGAGCAGCCCCGAGAACGTCCTATTCATTCCCGTGTTGAGTTTGTCCGAGCTTACAAACGGAGCAATGAATAGCCCAATTATAAGTGGGTGCCGCACTAGCACCATTATCGTGAACCATTGGATGTGTGTGGTGCACACACTTTTGAAGGTTAACGATAGTTATATACGGTAGCGCTCAAAAGTCTTCGGTGAAATGCTTTGACGCTTTTGCTTTTTCGTTCATAACTTTTTTCCTACTAGACCAAATCGCGCGGAATTTGGATATGCTTAACCAGAGCATATTTCACCCTACCCAACACTATTTGACTGCGAAGCTGCAATATCCACAGATAGAGTAAGGTGTTTGTTGCGGTAGCAGATTTTGCTAAAACTAAAGTTGTTGGCGTCTGCACTTATTGGCACCTTATGTGCGTTTTTCTCTTCTATTGTGATTGTCGTTACCGCTCGTACACATTTGACATGATGAAACGGAAAGAGATTCTAGAAGGACCATCATCTGTATTTTCAGTCGATTCT